AAAATCAGTAGCGGACGAAAAATTTTTCAAGCAATTGCCCAGGAACTTCAAAAGCAGAGGTACGCTGAACATTGCCAACAGCCTGTAAGTATCTATCTACCAATACTGAAATTTATGGGGAAAAAGAGGAACCGACAGTTTTTAGGAGTACACCATTTCAATTTCCTCTGGAAATAGTATTTTCTTTTTTTTAGACTTTTATCAACTTTAAAAGTATTCTGCACAACAATCAAAGACATTATAGAGCATTCTAAATGACCATGCATATACAATATATTTTTTTATATATATATGAGATAGCATACACCTTATAGAATGTTTGTAGATACATTTAAAAAAGAAGCTTCCATAAATTTGCATTTTGCCAAGAATAGGTCTGAAAAAGTGGTTCTGCACTGTTTGGTAAAATGCATAGAGTTATGAAGAGTTCATTTTTGAAAAATGTTTCAATTGTATTTCCTCTTGCTCCCTTAGCCCAGGTTAGCTAGGTGACAGAAACATAACGAAACTGTTATAAAAGCTCTACAACAATCTTACAGATATTTCCCCCTCCTTCAACTTACAGAGCCTAAACTAAGTATTCAACATCACTGGGTAAAGCCACACAATTTATTTCATCATTCCAAATTTATGCCAGTCAGTCTTATATGACGATATGACAAGAATTTTGCATATGTCATGTAAGTTACAAAAAAACAACTTTAGAAGTCACATATATTTGCAAAGAAAATGGCTTCAAAATCCTGCTTCAAAAGCGTTGCTTCTCTTGAGAAGCAGTATAAAGTCTTTCCTATTCTGAGCGTGGACCGCACTGCTTCAGAGATGCAAGGAGAAAGAAAAAGAAACATTGAACAAAGTCAAACACTTCTCCTCTGTACATTTTTACTTCACTTATTTCCATACAGCCCCAATTGTTTTCCTCTGCAATTACCCCTTTAAAGACTTCAAGTTGTTGCTGACATGACCTGGGCCTTGGTTTGAGTGTCAGATATGAACACAGTGAAAATATGGGGCATGTTTTACTGCCTTGGTGCTCCCTAGAGATTATGAAAAGCCAAGAGGAAAAGAAATATGTTTGGAATCCCATAGATGCCACATGAACACTCAGTAACTAAGTACTTCTGCTTTTTCCCCTAGGATGATTTGGAAGATGACACTGTTTATCAGAACAGATGAGCATGTGTGGCAGTTCAGACTTGTTCAATATTTCTCATGCAAGCAAAGGGGCAGATGAAGAAGTTAAGCTTCTTTACAGACTTCCTTTGCTTTAAAAAGAGATGAGAAAACCTTGCAGGGCAGTGTTCTTCCAGAGTATTTTCTAAACAGATCACCAAAACCAAGTGCATTACACATTACATCTATGTTATATATTACTTCTATTTTCCATTCTGCAAAAATAAGAACTGTGGTAAAAGACTTCATCTTTCATAACTGATAATGCCTCATAAAAGTTTCCTTTTTCAGTTTAGATTTAATACCAAGTCTTTTTTTCTTTTTACATGTATTCCTTTTACATGAATTGAGCATTTGTGAAAGATGTACGATAATTGCGAGCAGCAGAAAATAAACTTGTTTCATAGATGAAATTCTGGGCTTAGTCACATTAATGTCATAGTTATTGACGTAACAGATATACAGATCAACAGTTACTGTTTAAGCTGTTGTTAAGACTCAGAGTAAAACCTATGTATACTGTAGACAGGCAAGCAGAAAAAACACAACAGTATAAATGCATGTACTAGCATGGTAAAATTCATTTGGGACAGGAGCTTCTTCCTAGCCTATTTAAGAAAGGAAAGCAGTGGTCATAGTGAGAAGGTTGCCCCTGCAATAGTAAAATTGGCTTGCTAGACAGGCAACCCCCATCTTCCAGATTACCATCATCCAAAGTCAGGATTACCTGGAGCACCAAGTTTTGCCTTTACATGCCTGTTCAACATTGGATACAAGCGTGAACACAGAACTATACCACTTAGTCAGGGTAGTATACTTTTTTTTCAAAGTACCTTTTCTTCTTTTTTTTTTTGTTTAGCAGATTCTACCTAGCCAATCTACAAAATCAGCACTTTTACAAGAAATGTTAGCATCAGGCATTCTCCCTACTAAAGAAGGGCCGCATCTTTTATCATCATTTAAAAAAAGCAAGGCTTTGTTTAACAAATGAAACAGCATTTCTCACTTCAGTGAGATGAGAACTGACAACTGAGACAAAGCAAGGGTCCATCTAGCACAGTACTGTGTTTCCAGCTCAGTTTAGTACCAAGTATTTCAGGACGATAGGAATACAAAGATGTGTTTTCTACCCCTGTCAATCAGTCAGAATGACATTAACGTATTCAACAAGAAAATTTCACAATCCCAGGCTGCTAGCGTTTGCTACTTCTGCAGTATGGTGTCTCTGACATTTTTATTTCAGAGAAACTTAAAGCAGTCTAGTAATATATTCTCTAATAATGCCTTTAAAGAAATATGATGTCTATATTAGGAAATACAAAGAATTTTCATATGACTATGGGTTCTGTATTAAAAACATAAAGTTATAATAATACATATTCTTATGTGACTAGTCTAATACCTCATGATTCATCCCGCTTATTTGCCAAATTTAGACATGTGCAGTAAGTGCATTCCTTGTTGTTCTGTATGTTGAAATTAGAACTCTGAAAAACCCCAGAAAGAATTTATTACTAAGCTACTTCAGACTCTAGGTGTCACTGTAATTCCAGAAACAGTAAGCACAGAAATACATTTTACCTCCTCCTCCACCTCGCTTTGTTCTCTTAAAACAAGTTTTATGTTATTCACATAGACAGTTTCCACAATTGCCCTCCCATTACATTGCATGTAATAACTCAAATACCTCATTTTGATGAAAATAATTTCTCTATTTCCAGAAACAGATCCATACACTGATCAAAGACCTTACCTGCCTCATCTCTTCTTCATTTGTTCCCCCCTCTAAAATTCAAAAGTTTCTCTAGGTGGGTCCAAACTGTTTTTAATTAGCTGCTATATGAAGTTACTTGAGCCATGAAATGTTCCCTTTGAACGTTCCAAGTATATTTTTTTGTTAAATATAAAGCATATGTACGTATCTAACACTTTTAAAAATGCTCTGTCTTGTACAACAGCTGAATGAAAATACTGAAATTCTACAATAATTTGTACATCATGAAGACAGTCTGGCAGTTCATTGTCTATTTCTTTAGACTACAGTTAAATAGACCTTAAGTGGGAAAGCTTCAGAGGAATGACAGTAACTTTTGTGTGTGCTAACTTGTATTTTCTAAAGTAGTTTATACGGGCCCATATCCATGATAGTGGTAAACAGACAAACTGAATATGTTTTTAAGTTTTAGACCACATGAAGGAAACAAAACTGCCTTACGCAAAGTGACTACTCTGCTACAAGTCACCACCACAAAAAAAAAGTATGGCTTTGGTTTACAAGACATCGTACAACAGATTTCAACTTTCAACATGTAGGAATGACCAAGTTCAACAATCACAGAACAGGTTTCCAGTCCCTTGGGATTTATAAATTAAACACCCTATTCTCCTCCCAGTATATTGTAGAAGATAAATGACGAAGGATATAAGTGGCCTTAGAGTAGTTTCTTCCTTAATTTATCCTGTTGGGCCAGGAAGTTGCATGAGGTCCATCAGGTGGTTACCCAACAACATGCAGAAAAGTAAATGCTGGGTGCAATAGTGATTGCAAAACACAATAGCACATAGTTTTGGAGGCACACAAACAAAAAAGCCACCCAAATAATTCCTCAATTTCTGCTTCTAATATGCCAATGAAAGACTAGAAAGATGCTGCTGTAATTTGGAATTTTAAAGAGTTTTTAAAAGAGGAAGCCATATTGTTCCACATTATGGGAACAGTAAGTTGTAACCAAATATGCCTGAAATACTAGACAGATGTGTGAGTCAACTCCATCTCATTTAAGACACACTACTTTTCAGAACAGTTGCAAAATTATAGGCTCAAATGCTGTATTTTAAGCTATTCTTCATCTGATGGCATTATTTTTTGTACTTAAAACTCCACGCCAAAACCCCACCCCGCCGCCAAAATACCACTGGCATATAAAAAGAGGAAAAAAAATTCTGTTTGATGCATTTGTGATTACCAGAATGTTAAGGTTATTAGTTCTGTATTTTGTGGGCACACATGCCTTTCTGCACACAGATCTTAATACTCATGGAGAGCCATTGTCCAAACGATGACTGATGAACACCAGCCTTCTGGAATCCAAACCACCTTTAGGGTGCCTCAACCTTAATCCACAATCATAGGCACATTAAAAAAAGTTTGTAGTCTCTTTTGAAGTTTAGTCATAAGGTCAGATTCATTTGACAATCTCTCATGTATTTCTTTAAAATGCAACTAGGGGAAATAATGGAGTTTTGGCACTGAATTTTATTTTTTTATTCCAGTTACTAATACAATATAAATACTGGTTGATACTTTGTATTAGTAGGGGTCTATATTTTACTTTGAGAGCTCATGCTGGAAAGTGAACGTTATCTCCCTATGAATTTTTAGGAGAGGTTCCTCTGGAACACTTGAAACAGTTTGACCTGAACTGCTCTATTCAGCGTTACAGACAGTTCTGATGGTTTTGCTCAATTGGTTGCTAGAGACAACTGGGGTTACCTATATGACAGCAGCAGAGGGCCCTAATCAGAGATCAGTTTTCCCATGTTGCTCCAACACAGCTCAAATGTGGCAACCTGCAGAACAGGATATGTGACTTTAATACTTGAGCTTTTTGTTGGTGCCGACAATGTATACTGGGGAATTAAGAAAACAGCTTACATCATGTGGCCTATTTACCTATGATTTCATACTTCTGAACATGCACCGTACAAGTTACTTGTAAAAATAAAATACAAACATGCCAATTATTTATTAAACATTTAATTTGGGATACTATAACCTACAAATATTTTCTTTACCTGCCTAAATAGCTATTAGTCTGTGTACTTACTATTTTCCACATATGGGTGAAATGGCAGAACTAATGCTAGAATGACTCTGCCTCTAGTTGGCTCCAGTACACTTCTAATATCTTTTAATACAGTCAGTGGTTGATCACAGCGATCCAGCAAATTCAAACAGCTGATAACATCATACTGAAATCCTGTGTTTTGCCATTCATTTATACCAAGCACCCTACAAAGGGAATGTTAAACACAAGCTGACTTCAGAGAGAACCACTGAAGACAAAAGTTCCCTATGGAAGTGTTGGTAGTGCATGTAAGGTCTGCCACCTAGGCAATGAGAAGAGACAAGACATAATCTTTCTGGTCTTTTGGAAAACTATGAACCTTTACATTGCCTTATAATCAACAGGCAGTAAAGGAGACAAAAATTAAAACCCAAGGTATTAAAAAAAAGTGTTGTCCTAGAATAAAACTGAAGATACTTCTCAAGGAACAACAAAGCTGAAATATGATTAATGGCTTGCTGCGTTCTATCCACTCTGGTTTACCAGTGTGCAAACGGGGATTGCAAAGTAGCTGTTATGTTTCCACTCAAAAACAGGTGAAGAAAAGAAATCCACAGTTCCTTCATTCTTTGGGTTGAAGTCTAGGGATATAGTGCCTGAAATACTAACCATTACTCAACAAGACTGGATCTGCTGCCTGCAAGAACCTCCGGGAGCTGTGACGAGTGCACGAACAAAGTTCTGAAAGTGCTGAGGTTTCTGTTACTAAATATTATTCAATCTTAACAGCAGGAGCTAAGCATAGCAAAAATAAAAAAATCTTTACACAGTCATCTATACTGTGGGATTAGATAGACACAGATTATTGAGGTATCCTTATTACCAGGATTCAGCTTGCTTTCTCTGCAGTACCTGTGTCTTCCTCTTGCAATTTTGGACTGCTCAGTTAGACTGTTCATCCGAATTTAATCTTCCTGACTCCCTTGATTAAAGCAATTTATGCAAGCTACGAAGGAAGATACTTCAAAATGGTTGTTGCTTATTTTGTCTTAACTGATAACAGGGAACATCAGCGTAACAAAAGCACTGGAAAGACAGAACATGAGACGTGTTTGTTTTCCTGCTTTTGTACAGGTACACCTTTCCCATAATGATCAAACAATAGAGGAATTGGCTGAAAATACTGAACCCTCATTAAATATTACATATAGATTACTTTGCTAAAATGTCTGATATAAAAGATGTAGGAAGAATTCAGTGCAATACCTGTATTTCTTCTTCTGAAGCTGCCATATCATAGTTTCAGACAATTCAGTGGCATAGATTTCTTCAAAGTGAGGACTCATGACTTTAGTGACTTCTCCATCCCCAGCCCCCAAATCAAGAAGTCTGTGGGATTTCCATTCTGGATTTATTTTAAGCAGTCTTTGAAATTGTTCTGGGGAAAACACAAACATTGAGCCCCTTCCTAGCAGCCTGAAATGTAAAAATGAGAAATGATCAATTTTGTGCAAACTTTAACAGGAAGGACAATGAAGTAATTTAGAATGTGCTTTGGCAGCAACCAGTCACACATAATAGTAGACAAGGTCCCTGCTCTGATAAATTTTAAATCCAGTTCAACTTGCCTTGCACTTGTCAGAGATCAAACACATAGCCACATGCGGTTACAGCAGTTCAGACTTCAGGAGGAATTTGTTTAGGTAAGGAAGAGCTCATGCAGTGCAGCTCAAGAAAACGATCGCATTAAAAAAAAAAAAAGAGGGGGGAGAGAAAGTGAGGGAAAGATAAAGACTGAACCTTATTTGTCACATTTGCAGATTTGAACCTCTGCCACCTACCTTAAAAAAAAAAAAAAAAAGATTAAATAGCAGAGGAAATAAAATGGCTCCAGACACAGAAGTATGCACAATGAATGAGGAACAGGATGTGGAACTAGGAGGGAAGCCAGGGAACAGGTTTAAAGAAAGGATGGGGGTAACACCGCTGGAGTGGCAAAAGAGATTTTTTTAATTGTATGTTACAATGGCTTTTGCTGCTATCTGCAGATCCTGCATTCAACATGAAGAGCTGTAGCATAGAAAATAGGCAACTCATTAAGGAATTGGGTAGAGGTGACAGCTGGATTCCTTACGGATCAAGTCAATGACATACCTGCCTGTAACTGTTTGAAGACTACATAGTGACAGATTTCAGCTGTCATGGCAGAATTCAGAAGATGAAACAGTTAGGAGAGCAAGCAGAGGAAAAAGAACTGGTCAGTAACAGACCGAAGGCAGATAAATACTGTTATTTAAACTATTGTTGGACAGCAGGTTCAACTTAAAAAAAATGAACAGAAATCTTTTATGTTCAAGGGGAAAAAAAAGGTAAACAAAGATAAAAAGAATCGAAGAATAAAAAACTGTGAAAAGGCGGCAGCCTAGGAAAGATTGACTGTACTAAAACCCAAAGAAAGAAAGAAACAAACAAACAAAAAAGATAGACCATACGAAGTCCTATAGAAGAAACTAAATCAGGATATTAAATGTATAAAAATAAACAGAATACAGCCAATTTAAGCAGAGCCCACTTGCAGCATGCTTGTGTCAGTCCACACTGTATAATTGGCTCACCGTTATTATTCCTAACAGCACTATGAGGTGTTATTCAAAGCACTGGAGAGGCTTTGAAAAAATGGAAGAGAAAGGAAGAAGAGGAGACCAAAGAAACCTTTATATAAAGCTACAAGTAACTAAGAACACCACAGGGAAGCTCAGAAAGTCATCTGGTTAGAAAATAAGAAAAAGGATTATTTTTCTAGCCTTAGTAGACAGCTACTACCCTCATATCAGACTGTGCAGAAGTATGTAGTAGGTGCAGAGACGGGGATGGTGGAGAAATTGGGTAAATGTAACAAAATGCATTCTTCATAAGGTCAAAACTGATAAGCTATTTAGCATATGTCTGAATGGGGTGACGTGAGCAAAAAAGGCACTGACTTTTTGGAAAAAGATACTAAAGCGCCCAGGAACAGCTAAACTCCTCAGCAACCACAGAAGAGACTGATACAATAACACTAGGAGCATATTGTTTTATAAACTTCTCTTCTTCCTGCCTTCCTGATGTTTCATCAGTCAAATACACTACATCAGAAGTTACCCGTCCAAGTACAGATTACACACAAATTGAGGTGAAATTAAGTTTTACAGAGTAAGAGAAAGGACAGAATTCTGTTCCACATTACTGTTTCTAGACATAACACTCAGCCAAGTTCTGCACTGTTTAGAAATCTGCCTAGCTTTGCAGTGGGTGTGCACACAGTCTCTCGTAAGAAGAGTTTTAGATGCAATACAGAACTGACTGGATACAGCCACGTTCAACAAGGACAATCACAACACTAACTGATACAGACATGGCAGTAGGTAAAGGGCAAGGTGGGGGGGAAGAAAGCAGAGGGAAGAGGGATATGTTGTCTAACACAAAGAGAACTTTTATTCAGAAGGAAGTTAATACAATTAATAGTTATAAAATATAGTTAGAGCCCTACGACTGTCTCTTATTAATTGCAATTACCTCCTCCGTCCCCTCATACTGGAAATGGTGTTCTTCAATTAAGGGTGTGAAGAGCAGCATAAGGCATTTCAGATCCGTTAGACTGGCAAAGGGAAAACTACAAATTTAATAAAAGCTGACAGATCAAGGGGTAGGACTGAACACTTGAAAACTCTAAATCCAAACTGTATTTAGTTTACCTAAAATTGACTTTTCACTTACCCATTGATAGAAGTTCTAGACATAAAGAGGCTAAAAATTGAGGACACAAAAGAGTGATAGAGCTGGATAAATAACCAGCCTGATTTCTCAATGCTGTTGTTTAAGAAGATCTGTGTTCCTTGGTCAAGGTAACTCTGGACAAAAATAGGCTGAAGGGATTCAGACAACTGTTCTGTGTTGCAGACATACCACTAGAGAAAGAGATAAAGGATCATTAAAAACTTCAGCAATATAAAACCAGAAGTAGTTAAAACAAATTGAATACACAGAAGGCTACTATCAATTTCTGTAAATATAACAAATTTAGTTTCTCCTACAGACTTTTCAACAAGCTCCAGGATTAATTTAACTTAGGTTTCAACTGTAATCAAGTGAGGACCAATTACTTGCTAAGAAATAATGCTTTTAAATTTTTGTCTTAATCATTACTCTGTACTTCAAAGAATTCTACAAAGTAAATTCCCTAGAAAGCAAACACAGGTCCTCTGGGAACAGCATGGAACAGCACCATGCTGATAAAATAGTATCAAGTGGGATAACATGGTTTTCTATCTTCCAACTCATTGACAGCTTTTCCCTAGGCATCCTCTGAGAAGAAATCAGCAGGTGCATTTGCAATATCTTTCCAAGAGAGGAGATAAAGAATCCAATCAATACTTTAGACCACAACTTGTCTGTCTTATAGCACTGTTGGACTCTGTTTCTTCACTTACCAGTACCAACAAGCAGGTCCACAAGTTTTTTGAAACAATTACGTCTAAGAAGCTGCCTCTCAGTACCTCTACTTAAACAAAGGAGCAGGTTCCCACATCTAGGAAGTCATCAGTATCAGCTGAAATGCATTTCTATACTTTTATATTGGTAAAATCTAAAGCCCAAGCCAAAACGGGCCGATGATTCCTTTCACCTTTTGTTTCCTGGTAACAACCATCCCTATACAAAGTAAACTACCTCTGATATACAACCTGTTGTTCAATTAATTGTGAAGGAAAAGAATGCTACTTTTTGATATAAAATCTAGCTGGAAAAGTAATACACCATACAGTATCTCAATATTTTGCTACCCATGTGTAAGGTCTATCTAAGCTCCTTCTTTAGCATCTGCATTACATTATTTTAAATGCAAAATCTTGTGCAAAACAAGGCAAAACTATAGAAATTCTGAAATTTTAGGATCCTGTTGGCCACCTTCTGCAACTCCAGCAAATGCCTCTAATGCTGCAGCATTCTGGAATGTCAACACTGGTAATAAAATTCAAAAGTCGCTCATTGCTAGGTTGCAATGCCAAGCTAAAAACCCCTTCCACTCAATATGCAGAAGTTACAAAAAAAAAGTTTTAAATGCAATTGTAATTAAGAACATCACTATTATTTTTCACTCTCCTACCCTTATGAAGAGTTATTGTCAGCCCTTCTCATAGAATCTCTAATGCCATCATGTCTGTTTTCCAATGTCAAGAGAATGTTAGCTGTCGAGAATAGTTCTTATCTCCCCCTTAGATCTTGCAATAACATTTCTGAATCTGGCTGCATGTGTTTATTGTGTAGATAGGGAGCTATAAGTATCTTAAAAAGAAATGGAGAGTTTTAACAGAATCTTGTAAACATGCATGTAGACGGACAGCAAATGGTCAGCTGGGGTAACTCCCCAATGACTTGACACCTAAGATTGTGCCTATAGACATACCACGCAAAATGTATGCTCATATCTGATCCCTTCACATTTGTTTTACCTTGTTGGGAGAGGAACAGCCACTTGACGCACATTTAACACAGTGTTCAGCACAATGGGCCTTCCAGCCACTACTGTAATACAGATAATAATGGGACAGAATTCTTATTGCAGCGTCCTGCTGCTTTATAATAATAGTGCCAGCAAGCACAGCAGAGCAGACAGCTGCACCAAGATCATTATGCCAGATTCATAAACAGGGGCTCCATCAAACACTGACCCAAAGTAGCAAGGGAAGTCAAGACCCTTCATCTGAGGGGCAAACATATGCCTGCTTAGGTTTACTTTGAAAACCACTTGAATAACAGCTACATTTCTGGTGGAATCAGGCTCTCAACTGTACTTTCAAACACACCTGGCGGTGGCACAAATAAGTGATCTTTTCCTCTAAAAGCCAAATTTTGAGCAAGTCTGTACCACATGATGGGACAGGGATCCCCAAGACTGCTGATTTACCAGTTTAGGTCTTCATTCACTGCAGCGCAGTGCTAGTTAAATGAATCAGCGTAGTCCAGTGATTCCCAAAAGGAATCTTTTGTGGGTCGTGAAAAACCACTAAAGCAGCAGCCTGTGTACTTTGTCCATCCATCTTCAGAAGCCAATTTCAAGAGCCTGGCAGAGTGAACAGTCCCATGGTGCTGAGGAAGCAGGTTGGGATACGTGTCAGGTGTACTCATGAGGCTGCTGCCTAGCCACACTGGACAGGTTTGGAGTGGCTCAGATGATCTGCCTTTTTCAATGAGTTGCCATTTTCAATCCAGAAGAAAATGTATGCAATTATCAAAGCTTTGGAAAACACAGGCTTTGTTCCATAAGCAATATGACTACATATATGCTGTACCTGAGCTCATACACCTTGATTCTGCACTGAACTGTCACCTGTAAGTTCCAGGATCTGGCCATGGAAATCAACAGTCCTACAATTCTTGTCTTTAAAGACTTCTAAATATTGATACATACTGACATAATCATTAACAGAACAATGATGGTGACAACTGTGCGAAGAGAAGCTTGTTTCCAGAAATTAGGTGTTGCCCACAGACCTCCTCTAATTTCTTTTTCATAGTTAATCTTGCCAGTAAGGTTATTGGCAGCTACCTATATAACACTAGTGAATAACAGAAATTATAACAAACTATAAGAAGAAAAAACCCAAAGCAACACAGGATAAAACCAATCCAATTTTCAAATGACAAAACTGGTGAAAAACATCTTAATTTTGGAACTGCTTCCTTTGAGCAGCAACTGCTTTTGTTTTCCTCCATGTCCAGCATATAAAGAGCGCTTTTCAGGCCACTAGTTTCAAGACATAAAGTGTATCAATCTCTCATAGCACAACAGTAGAAAAACTACAGCACAAAAATCTGAAAAGATATGTTAAGACCTTTCTTATAATAAAGGTTATAACTATTGACAACTCTTGCCTAATATTAGTGAAAGGAAGAAAATGTTCTTTTAGCTAACTTATGTAAAACTAATGAAGTCAGTAAAACTGCAGAGAATGAAAGTACCTGGGGCCTCAACATGCAATTCTTACTTATGAGTAACCCCACAAACTCAGTAATCATAAATCTTACTAAGCTTACTAAATAATCAATACTTTAAGTTATAAAATCTAGATCAAATAAATTAGAAATGGAGACCATCTGCCTGTGAACGACATGATCATCTCCATAACACATTTCCTTGGTTGACCTGTCTTTACACAAAAAGACTTTCACAAAAAGACTTTCAGATTTTCTTTGTTCACCAGAATGAAGTTTTTTCTATAAATCTAAATTCTGCTTCTCTTTGTACTCATGTACTGAATGATCCAAACAGCAGATCGTATTCATTAAACCCCAGTAATACATTCACTCAGTAGCAAGATTCCGGCTGTCAGTGCCCACCCAAAGTACTAAAAAAGCTCCAGTAATGGATCAGCTTGAAGAATTATGGTGCATAGTTATGTTCTTCCTTTGTACAGCAGTCCTCAAGTATTTATGCTCTGTCTTCTCCATTAGTTTGGCTCTGTGTATTTTACTTAGAACAAGCCAGTATCTTCCTTCAGCACAAAGAGCTCTCATTAGCCCTTCTGAACTCCTGTCAGATTTTCAGTAGCATTTTGGTAAAACGAAATGCAGATCTGAACATATTCCAAATGCAATCATATCACATATCCATTGCATTGCAAGGGTATAGGCCCCAATTTCTCCACAAAGTACAGATCCACGTGCCAATATTGCCCAAATATAGCACTAACCTTTTACTGCAACCGTATTGCGTTGCAAACTCATTTCTAGTTTGCCACCTACTACGTTCCAAGGCCTCTGTGAGCTTCACAGTTTCCCAGTCGCTCACTTTTTTTATTTTCCTCTAGATACACCGGTACTAATTAAAAACGTCTGATTACAAGCCCACCTGCAAACTTCATTTAAGTGTACTCGTAGAGCTCAGCGGGAAAAACGCAAAGCGCAAGTTCACACCTCTCAGGAGCCGCTCTGGCCCCCAGCCCGATGCATTGCCGCTCTCGGG